GTACAAAACAGATCAGTTGCTAGGGGCAGGAAGATAACTTAATTTTGGAAAGGTCTGTATTGACTGCTTGCACGGGTATGAAATTATATAGACTGTTTCCTTCATAGTATGCATTAGAAAACACATTCCCATGCTACTGCTTCATCATAAATCTGCTACTTAAAGACACTTGCTGTAAACAACTCCTGGATTAATACAGGACTAAAAACACAGCATGTATCCTTCCTATACGGATAAAAGCTTGGAAAAGCAATACTTACTGGCATACATTGAGTGGAAAAAGGCAAAAGAAAAAGAGAGCTGTTGTATTTTTCATTTGTCATCCCCCTCCACAGCTTTAAGCCAACCTGCCAATTTATGATTTCTTATTGTTTGGATTTGGCAGTGTTGCATCATGAACTCTGTTATGAATGACTGCGTGTTCTTTCTTTTGGACTGTACACTTCCTTGGACAGGAACTGTTGTTTACTACACTGTTGTACCACATCTTGCCCAATCTTTAAATGAGAGGTCTGTGGGCAAGTGCACTGACTGAGCTGTAAGGGAAGGGCAATGACTATAATGCTCTCCTTGGCAAACCCAGTCCCAGCAGGATGCCCATAAGCTGTTTTGGGAATCGTTGTTCTAAGCTCACTTGTTTGTTTAACATATTCCACACTTGTAGCCTATGAATTACCTTCTCTTGCCTATGCCAAGCATGATTTCAGGGCACAGAAGAGAATATTTAAGTAACACTTTGAATTTTCATTGTTTAGTGCTCATTTGCTTTATTTATATTTAAGACTTCAAAAGACACTAATAGAACTAGATGCCTTTGAAAGAAACCCTTGTTTACTTTTTTTTTTTTTTATATCTATAATTGTATCAGTACTCCTAATAGGCTTACTTGGGCAGATAATTGTTTCTTGCTAGTAAATATATATATATTTTTTTGAGATGGTACCACTCCCAGATTGCCTCTACCCTAACAGCTTAGAAAGAAAAAAAAAAAAAGAGAGAGAGAGAGAGAAGAAAAATAACTATTATTTTAATAACTATAACTAATACATCCCTGTGTTTCTTGAAATATTAGCAGAATACATTCACCCAGAGTCTGCACATGATCAAAAAAAGAAAAGTTAGCAAAAAATCACAAACAATTGTGATATTGGCAGGTAGATCCAGGTCCTCATTTCTCAGAAGACAAGAAGATAACTGTTAGCCTGTGCTTTGTTTCCAGAAGAATATAACTAGCTGCTGGTTTACAGGTAAATATGAGATTCAATTACTGAAGAGACCTGGGATGAATTTTTCAAAATGCACTACTGACCTTTTCAGTGTCTAATGATTTAAAAGAACAAACTTAAAGGCAGTTTAAGGCTGCCTCATTTACAGAGAACAAGTACTTGACACAATGACAGCATTTTTAGACTCTCAAATAATTTTGAATCACTTCCTCCTTTACTTTAATACTAATGTCAAGATGGAGGCAGTACAGAAACTGAATAGTGAAACAAATTATGGAAAAAAAAATAGAAATTAAAAATAGTATGATCTTTTTGTGAATATTATAATACCCATCCCTGATTTAAAACTTGCTATTAAAAATTTCTTTTGATTTTATAATTTATAGTGGTCTAAAATCTAAAGAAATTCTGTTGACTTTAGAGGACTTATTTCAGTCAAGAAAAATGTTACTTATAAAATACAAAATGCCATAATCTGAAAACCGTATGGAAAAAAATAAAAATATGACTCAATCTGAAAATACAACTCAGTTTTAAAATCAAGTTTAGAGTCAGATGCAAAGAAACACTTCCTCCAATACTGTAGCAGTTTGTTTTAAAACTACTGAATATTTTTGAAGTTGTGATCTTTTATCAGGCGTTCAGCATAATTACAGAGCCATTACATAAAACTGGAGTTCAGATAATTTGCAGAACTAAAAGCACTACTTCACCGTTGTTATTAATTTCTGGTAAAGTTATTGTTGACTTAGCCAGTTTTGTTAACAACTAAATCCGTTCCTCAAAAATTAAAAAGAACTTCGTATGGTCTATTATGGGAATAGGTAACACGCTGCTTATAGTTTTCATGTTATAGTGTAAGCTGATGGATTTGATTCCAGAATGAGACTGTGACCCAGCAAACCAATCTGCGTCCAAAAAGAGCTTGTTCTCTCTTTCAGTCAAAAGCCTCTGGTTGGACAGAATAGTGCCAAAGACTTTGCTGTAATTTAGCAAATATACTAAATGTGAAGTTCACTTAAAAAGTTTTGGCAGTTGGTACTGTCACATGATAGAAACTATTCAATCAGTGTTTGGCTTAGAAGAAATTTACTTTAACAAACCTGAGATAACCTTTCAGTTAAGGTTTAAGTTAAGGTTTAGTTTAGGTTTAAGTTAAACATACCACTGCTGGTATTTAGTTGTGCAGGATAATAAAGAAGTAGTCAGCTTTCTTATGTTCTATTTACATCTTCGGTTGACTCCCAAGGTAAATTGTGGATGACTTCAGGGTTATTACTTAAAATAATCCAAACCATCAAAATAACATAGTTTTCAAAACACAGGCTTAACTAATCTTTTTCCATTTGTGATATTGCAGTTATAATGCAATTTGCAATAATGTAATTTGTTACAGTGGTGCAGAAACTGAGGCCTGGTGTTAGCAATCAAAAGTAGTTTCATTTTGTAGTGACAGAAATGAAACTTTTTAGACTCCTCTTCTTGGAGTATGTTATTTTGAATATATGCTATTTTTGGATGCTGCAGAAAAATGCAAATTTATAATGTTCTAATTTGGCCAGAAATATGAACCCTAACAGATTAAACCACATGATCATGCTACCAGCTTTTAAGATGCCAATTAGAAAAAAAACACAGAGGTCTCTGTTTCTTATGAAGAATGATGAACAAAGAGAACTTTTGATGTTTATTCTTCTGCACCCTTAAGAGAGAGCCTGTCCAAAATAGTGCCATTGTAGAATAATGCAACTAAGACAGAGGATTTAACCTTATAGTGACCTTTCATCTTCCTTCAGCCCTGTATCAAATTCTTCCTACTGCTCTGCATTTAAGAGATCTGGAAAACACTTCTTTAATGGTGCTTAAAGCTCTTATTGCCAGATAAGAAGAAAGACTATTCATATGATTAAATATTTATGGTGCATTCCTAGCAATGCCCCCCATATACATGCCCCTCAAATCAATTGCCTACTCCAAAGTTAGATTGCTTGAGAGCTTAATGCATAGCATTGCATGCAGGAGATACAAATTCTTAATTAATGAGTAAATAATCAAACTATCCCTCTTACTATGCTTATATATGCTTTTAATATATTTCCAATAAAAAATGTATTTAGAAAGAATATACATTTTAAACTAGCATACTGATATAGAGATTTTATTAATCACAAGAATTATTAAACCAAATGCATGTGTTGATGAGCTATTGTTTTAGTATGTGACCCTTTCAGAATAAGACACTGCCTTTGTTAATTGGTTTCCAGCTTCTTTTTAAAGAAATAGGGAAACCAGGAACGAGAGAATGATATTTCTTAGCACACCAGTAGAGGGAGCTCCTTAATAGGACAATCAATTTCCTATCCGAGTTCCTCCGCTGCCGTTCTTGAAGTTTCTACTATACATAAGATTAAAAAACGAGATGAAGTGCGAACATTTCCAGAATGAATCTTTCTTTAGCTATTTCACAGAATAACAAAAGATAATTAACAAAACTATAATTTTCTACTTTTTTTTTTTTTTTTTTTTTTTTTTTTTTAGTGATAAAGGGGACTAATATCTAAGTTCTGGTGCTCTGCTTACCCTACTGCTAAATTAATTCAAAATTACCTCTCAAAGTATCAGCATGTGTTTAAAGCAGCTTTTTCCTACAATGCTATGCAGTTTCAATTTTACTACAAATGCATCACACAAACATCTGTGACTCATCTATGTGTGAAGATAAAAGGGGGGTGGTCTAAAGCAGGCTGAGAAGAGCCAAGAAAAACAAAATAAAAATCACTGTATCCAGAATTTCTTTAAAAATCCTTTCATGATAGAGGTTCAGAATGGCCAGATATATCAGCCTCAGTTTACAATGCACAAAATGTATCTTCCAACTATTTTCTATACAATTCTGAGAGCAGTTAACCCAGTAACATGGGATATGCTCTGTGTTTTTACCACTCAGCTTATTTTCCTTGAACATATGTGTTTACTTCTACAACTGAAACAGTAATCCTGCCATTGTCTTTTGTAATCTGTATTTGTAATAATGCAACATTGCTGACATTGCTAACAAACCACTGAGTTTACTGAGCAAAGGGGACTACTCTGACAACATTGCTTTGGTAACACCGACCTTAACAAGTACAGTTCTCATTAGTAGCAAAGGGACAGAATTAAAGGGGAAAATCTCTTCCTCTGCATGAGCATTTGGAAAATCCTTTCCCTGTCATGTCCCTGAGCACTTAAGTAAAAACATACAACTAAGCTTGAGTTAGTTGCTGATTATTTAAGTAAATGTTAACAGATTTTGATTACTATAAATGATTTTATGTGTGAGCTTGAAATAAGGTATGTGCTTAATAGATGAAAGTTTAATGAGAAAATAGCAAAATTTTTACTCAAGTCCACTGAAGTCAATGCAAGAATTCCCTGTGACTTAAAAAGAATCAGGGTTCCAGATGCTGGCCTCAGCAGGAGTTTTGCCTGACCAGGGCAATGCAATGGATTCAGGTTTTTATGGAAAGGCTCTTGTGAAGGAAATCGGCGCTTGTACCCAGGCAATTTGTTGAAGTGCAAGATTTTAAACACTGCTGAAAATAAGTCTAAAAAAACATACTCTAAAAAAACAACAACAAATACCAACTCCCTGGCCCTCATCTGGGGGAAATAAACCAACACTGATCACTTTCCAATATCCCATCTCCGATATGGAGCTATTTTAGGACTTAGCCTTCAGAGGAAGTCCTTTGTTCAGTTAAAAAAAATAAATACAAATTATTTTCTCTTTACCTGCACTGGTGCCTGCACCGGTAGTGAGGTCCCCACCCATCAGGCCACCTAGGAGGTTGAAATGAAATACTATGAGTGAGTACAATAATTTATAACAGGCAAACATGCAAAACATTTTCTCTGACTTCAAACAGTCTGCTCCAATATGCACTACAATTTTCCTCTTACTTCAGCAGGCATCAGATCAGACCCATAGTCATAATATCATAATGTTTAATGTCACACATACAAGGTATTTGCCTTTCAAGGACAAATAAAATATGCAGTACCCAACAATTCATTATTTTACTTTCATACTTCCACAGCACAGGAAGTCAATTATTTTTGAAAGCTAAGTATTCATTCACTTGAAAATTGCCTTTAGGTCAGTGTTAGTCAGAGAAGCAAGGCTTCCACACAGGATTTGGAGGAAGAGACTAAAAGTTTCTGTTAGACAGCATAATTCATACGCTGTCATACGTACTTGCACAGTTTTTCATTTTAATTTCCTCAGCTTTTCATAGGCATCCATGCTAAGGATTTTAGAAACTTCTCTTTGCAGTTGGAGACCTCACAGGTCTCTTTGAACCCTTAAGGGTGTTGATGTTGCTTCAACCAGGCACATTGAATTAACTTAATCCCCATTTATCCTATTCGGAGGTGAGCCCTCATCATTACCAGAGTGAAGCACAGCTTCTTGCTACACAAGCCACTCGACTAACATTTAGCCTTTGCAGAACTACCGATAATAATAAATTCTGTGTTTAGCCACTAAACTTGAAATTTAAGCAACGAGTGTCCTATTTTACTTGTTTCCATTTGTTTGCATCGGCCACGTTTCCCCCTGCCCCCTGAAGTTTTATGGTGTAGTGAGCTCTTACATGAATTAAGTAGACAAGCTGCATTTTTATGAAACAGCAAATTGTCTGCCCTTTTATCCTTTATTGATTTCCCTTAATCTCAGTCAATACTCAGCTTTTTCTAGAACTCTTTTTTTTTTTTTTTTCTATATTGGGAATAGAAACCTCTTTGGCTCTTTTGATTTTTTCAACACAGCAATTTTGGACAAACTGTTATGACTTGTACAAACAGCATTCTTGTCTCTAAGAGTACAGTTTAAAGTGACCCAAGGCACGCAAGCAGCCAATAAAAGAACGTTTAAAGGGATGGGACAGAGTAGAGCCTACCTGTGTTACCTGCACTCGGAGGCCGATGTGTCACGCCAGGAGACATGCTATTTCTTTGCAAAGAAGGATGAGCCAGCGGCAAAAGGTTGGGGTTCCCCAGTGAGCTGACTGGGTTACTGTACACCAAGCTGTTGTGGTTGGACACTGGGATAGAAACTGGCATCTCAAAGTTTGGTGGTGGAACAGCCTGTACAAGCAAAAAAAAGGGAAACAAAGACGAGAATAGTACAGAAGCACAACAGCCTTCAAGTACAGTTACTCTATATTTAGTTCAAATATTTTGTAGTTGGTAGTTAAAATATTTAAGCTCCCCCAGACTAAGAGTCAAGAAAATAGTTTCAAAGAGTTACCAAAGCTTTTAAGCATGATTTTTTAAAAATCAAGCTTCCATCTTCCATTAATACAGCTTGCCTATTTACTCGGTAAGAACTGGGAAAAATTTATCTTTTTCTTTTTTCTTTTTTTTTTTTCCTTTTCCTATTTTTTTTCTCCTATCCTTTTCCTCTCTCTTTTTTCTTCTTTTCTTTTTCTTTATCCCTTTTCTCTGTTTCTCCTTTTCCTTTTCCTTTTCCTTTTCCTTTTCCTTTTCCTTTTCCTTTTCCTTTTCCTTTTCCTTTTCCTTTTTCTTCTTCTTTTCTTCTTCTTCTTCTTCTTCTTCTTCTTCTTCTTCTTCTTCTTCTTCTTCTTCTTCTTCTTCTTCTTCTTCTTCTTCTAAACAAAACCCTGCTTTTATGAAGCTTAATTTTCTTTTTTTTCTTTCATTCAGTGAAGTCGTAATTGTTCATTTGTGATATCTTAATCTAGTGTCACAGATGACTGCAAGATCAAAGGTGGATGATTATGATGACTTCATTGCATGGAGAAAAATTAGAAGGGGTGGAATGCAAAAGGGAAAGCTTTAATTTCAGCTTATGTTGCTTTAGCAACCAGAATGATCGCAAATTATGTTAAAGCCACCAACACAGTAAATGACATTTTTTAAAGTTTCTATTTGAGCTTGGGAAGGGCTTAGAAGAAACAAAGTTCTACTCAGGCTCATTTAGCAAAAGCAAGAATTTTAGAAATAAATGACTCCCTGGGATCTTTGTGTTTTATTTTTATGCGTGTGTTTGGTGATGTCTTTTCAACATAAAATTGTCACCCTTTAAGGTAGCACCCTCTCCTGAGCCACCTTCCTTAGTAAGTATCCCTTTCAAAAGCACAGCAAATTGTGGACTACTCTGACCCTGTATCTGACAGGGAGTATGAGATGATTCTCGCTAACTTCTCAGAAAGACCAGCTCAGTCTTTTTTGTTTGTTTGTTTTTTTGTGTGCCTGAATTTCTTTAAAATCTTTGATTCTGGCATCACTCAAATACACCAGAACTCCATATTCATTTTTTTTTTAATAATTAATTTCCTTCCTTTTTGAATGGAAAAAAACTTTCTTATTTTTTTTTCCGTCAGCATCTTAGTTTTTTCCCAACAACATCTTAAATGTTAGAATATCTTTATGCAAGCAAAGTACCCCTTAATTTAATTTAAACCCCTTTAAAAATCTTACAAACCTCAACAGTCTCAACTCTTCGAGAAAATCTTTAAACCAGAATTGTACTATTTTCAGAGGAAGGAACTCACACATTTTAATTTTATTGTTGGCAGTTGATAGCACTAAGTCTTCAAGATCCTATGTCAGGCAGCAGAGACACCCTGACCTTGTACCACCCACATTTATTTTCTCTGGGTGGTTAGATCTCTTGGCTGTGCCCTGCATATTACAGCACTGGTCGCCAGATTACTTTTAGCCTTCCAGGCCTTCTTTTCTTTTCTTTTCTTTTCTTTTCTTTTCTTTTCTTTTCTTTTCTTTTCTTTTCTTTTCTTTTCTTTTCTTTTCTTTTCTTTTCTTTTCTTTTCTTTTCTTTTCTTTCTTTTCTTTTCTTTTCTTTTCTTTTCTTTTCTTTTCTTTTCTTTCTTTCTTTTCTTTTCTTTTCTTTTCTTTTCTTTTCTTTTCTTTTCTTTTCTTTTCTTTTCTTTTCTTTTCTTTTCTTCTTCCCTCTTCTGCCTTCAGTCAGCAGGCATAATTTTGCTCTAAATATATAGCCACCATTCTGCTTAACCACTAAAACACAGAGCAAGGTTTTAATTCAGAGCATGATGTGAAGGATACATTACACAAATGCTTTGGGACTTATTTCAAGGTGTTGATTTAGCTCTGAAACCTTCTGCGTGGCCTGTGGCCTGGTTTTGTGAGAGATGGCTTCTCTCGTCTGTAATGGCTGAGACCAGTTAGGGCACCTGACCAGATGGACCTGCTGACATGGCTCCTCAGCTGATATCCCACATCTCTGGAACTTGCTTCCATTTGGCTGAGAACCTGAGGTGCATCCTAATGGCCATTTTTCCTGAAGAGTTGGTGGGTGTAAGTAGGGCTGGGTAGGGAAGAGTAAGTACTTTGACAATCTCATTCCCCATGTGTTCAGTGGATAAGCAACAAAACTGCATGTGCTGCTATGTCTGTGTAGAGATTCTGAAAAGTATTATTTTTTTTTCCCATCACAAATGAAAAAAAAAAAAAAGAGAACATATGATTACATCTTTAAAAGTGAAATTGCTGAGGTAGATTTTTTGTCCTAGTTGTTCTTTGTTTCTTTTAGGAGCAACCTTCTTCTTCTGCATACGTTTTTACAGTTGAATTCCAGCTCATGTGTGGCTTGTCTTTCAAAGGAAAATTTACAAAGCACATTTCTCAAGGAGCACCAGTTTATGTCATGATGAGTCCGGGCTCCTTGGAAATAGATTGAATGCAAAATCTGAAACATTTTATCAATCTCTATGTACATTTTGAAATGAGAAGTTCTCTTCATTAACTGTGAAAGGATCTAAGAGGTTCCCAAATTCCACATAAAGAAGAGGTACAGCTTGGACCTCTCAATGCCCAGCTGCTTCTGGAATTTAAAGATACCTGCTGCTGCTGGTTTCTGCCTTTTCAAAAAGTTTAACCAGTGAATTCACATGAGGATTGGCATTTTAGCTTCACATCCAGCCTAATGTAAGACTTGAATAAGTCCATGTAGAGCCTCTTGGCATTATAATACTCATTGCTGTGATGCAGATCTTTCTGCCTGATTGCTCTGAGCACACAGTCCAATTCCAAAGGCTTCAAACAATTCCTAGCTGCTTGAGTGCCATCCTATGTTAGATTGAGTGTCACTCACTGCAGATCTCTTTGCACTGTATCTTCTTCATCAGTGTTACAAGATTTGTGAAATCTGCACTCAGAGCCAAGGTAGACAGCTGTTTTCCCTGGCCTGTTTTCCTAATCTCAACTTCTGTCCATCTACCCAATATAAAACCCTTGAACAATGCAAATCAAGCTCATCTGCTTTTATTATTATTTTTTCTTCCACATTTGGACACTTCAAAGTTTGGAACCTTCTTTTTCCTACGTTAGCACAGAACAAAAGAGCCCCAGTCTTGTTTTCCCTTTCGGCTGCCACTCAGTAGTCATCACTGAATCATACAAAACATTGTTGAAACAGTTCCTTCGTTTTCCATGTTGTCATTTTAAAATAGTATTTAAATTACTTAAACATTTTCTTGGTTTCCGCATCTGTAATGGATTCATTTTTATTGTTTTATCTACTATCTGGATATACTGACACTTGTTTATGGACACCTAATAAGCAATTTTATTACTGCAAAGTCAATTTACTCTATGCTTTGCAGAGCAATACACATGATATTCTGGAGTATCATTGTTCTTCTTATCAGTAGCCAAAGGTTAGAGAGGGAATTTGTCTGGATAAGCACTGGTATTAAGCGGTATGTGTCTAGCTACAGTTTTCCTCTGGCTGCCCAACTTGTGTTACAGTCTCGTATATCCTTTACCAAGAAGTGCAACCTAGTATAGATCCTCTAGTCATTCTTGGTGGTAAGTCACAGGGCATATCTATTCCAGTTAGGCCTGATGGACTTTAAAGCTTACGATGTACTTGCGTAATATCTATATTAGTAAATTAAATGTGCCTAGGAACGAAGGCCATCTGAGGCCACAGGGCAGTACATGTTCATACTATTAAACTTTCTCAACCTCGACAACATCATGGCTACATATAAGCCAACAATCGGGAAGTGTTCCTGGCCTGGGCTAACTACCAAATAGAGCTAAGAAACAGTCTGGGAGAGCATTATTTGGCCTGTGCCAAAAGCATGCCAGGGACTGTTCAAAAATCCGCTGCAGAGATAAGTGCCTTCTGCTGCCTCAGAGTGCTCTTTGCTGTTCATTTACTAACACAGACATGGTCTGACTCTTAACATGTATGCAGCTTTGCTACATTTTAGTCTTTTTCCCATCTTTTCTCCTTTGGACAAAACTGCTAACAAAAGCAGATTGCTTACTTGAAAGGGAAGTGACAGTGTCCAGTACTCTATGTTAGATGTGAGCTCCACGAGCTGAAGAGTGTTGTACAAAGCAAAATGCTGGGGACTCGAAACCCTTGAAAATTCATGGGCCAAACATTCTGTGTCAAATATTCTTTTTTTTTTTTTCCCCTCCTATGTTCAACTACATTTTCATTTATTTAGAGACAGAGATACTTATAGCTCCCTTTTGGAGGACTATTTCTGTCTCCTCTGCTTTCATCACTTATGAAAACTACAAATAAATGTGTAATTATTATCAGATGTTTTAGAACAATATAAATACTTATCCCCAGAAAATTATCTGAGGAAACATTATTGGCCTTAGCTGTTAGGAGGAAAAGCCAATTTTTTTGTCATTTGGCAGCAAATTTTTTCTCTTACAAGATGAGGCATAGGCTTTGCAACGTTTTGCATTTTTTGTAAATAGTGATTTAATGACTTGTTGACTTCTCGTTTAATTTTGCTTTCTTCCCCCAAAATTTCTTGGCTACCTTTGATGATCACAAGCAAATTAATATAACTTCTCTGACTTCCCTGAGGTTATACTGAATTGTACAGTTAAGGTTGATGTCTTATGTATACAAATGTCAGTTATGTACAAGCTCTGAGCTCCACCTTGCCTGTAAAATCTAGGCTTATGCTAAGAGAAGGAGCTCCTGTTGCATTAGGGGAAATCACCTACTGACTCTTCCTTTTGTGGTGAGCAGCTTGATGGAGCACACAAGCCTTTAACTCTGTGTGAAGTATTCAAAGAAGGGATATCCTGTCTTACACAAAAAGAAATGGTGACATTTTGTAGTTCTGTGTCTCTGAAGCACCTTCAGAGCAATTTCACAGAAAGATAATGCATTGTACCTGGTAACATCCCAGCAAGGTAGGTAGTTACATTGTAACCAAAATCCAGATCAGGAAAGCAAGACAATCGAAAAATTAATGGCCAAACAGGAATGTATTTGATATAGAAGTGGGGGATTTAATGAAAACAACAATTTCATTAATTTTTTGGGAAGGTGAATGTGACATACTATGTATAGATTAACTATGCTGTTTTTCATTCCTTGAACTCTCTCAGTTTTGTTGTGAAGGTGATTTTCTCAAATGCTTAGAAGGTAAAGTAGGTGGTGGAACTCACTAGCAGTCAGAAACAAATTTTCTTATTGTTTTTCTTTTTCCCTCCATATCTTAATTAGAATGGTTATAACGTGAGCTCCTTTGTCAAAAGAAAAGAGAGAATGCAGGAGAGAAACAGATGATCTGAAGAATCATCACCTCAAACCCTATTCAAAGGTGGAACAGTTTCTTGGTTAAATCCTATCGGATTGAAATTTTTGTCACTTTATTTGAACAAAGGAAAGGTCATTCTTGAAAGAGGAAAGGAATGGTGATGGCTAAGATTTTGATGTGAAAAAGGGCAAAGCCTTTTAGCTTATAGTAGTCATGCTAAATGTTGCAGTCATTGTTTGTCAAACTGAGTTCCACCCTGAGAAACCAAACTCGTGGTGACAGCTTTAAAACTATTTTGTTGAGAAAAACTCATACAGAAATGAAGTAAATAAAAAGGGAGGTAAGAAAGATGGAATACACATTTATACCTCCCTGATGTTCCATATACATGTTGGGCATTCTTAAGAAGTCATTCCCAACACTCATTTGTCAAATTTGGTGCCATTGTGGATTACCTGAAAAATCTGTATTATTATTTTTGCAAAAACATGTTTGACAGGATATCAAAACTTCGTATTTTAATTAACTCGGGTGATTTTTTTTTCTCCTGAAAATTCATGGAAAGAACATTTACACTGTATGAGACAGAATCTGTAAGAGGTACTCTCAGCTTAGATATCAGACTTTGTGCACAACAGAACCAACTGTGTCATTCTGGGTGAGCAGACATCCTCTGTGGTAGCTAACCATACAACCTCATGTGGGAATGAGTAAGGTACATATCCAAATGATCTTTCTTAGAAGCAAGCAGTTATTTATCCAAATTCAGATGCTTCCTTGGAGCTGGGCAAATCTTTGGACTGCTATCCTTTCTTCCATACAGAAGAAGGGCCAAATATATAGTCTTCATAACCTCCATATTCTTTTTGTCAGTTTTTAAAATCTTGTATTAAGCATAATGACAAAATGTTTTCCCCCTGTATGTCTTGTGCAAACAAAATAGCACATGCAGAGTTATTTCTCTTAGATATCTGGCAAGGCATATGACTGATGGTTAGAAATTTTGACTTGGTTAAAACAAAATTTAGCTCATGTTAAAGCATTAAAGAAATGCTGATGAGGTCAAAGCAAATTCTCTGATAAAGCTGTAAAATCACCCCAACACACAAACATGTCTGAATCCTACCATTAGGCTCTCATGCAGTCTGTTTCTCTGCAGCGAGCAAGTAGCTGTAACCCTTCAGTGCTGAAACTGAATTTGGCAGAGACACTCGAGAACTGAAGTGACACGCACAGAATGTACTAATTGCTATATATAAAGGAATTTCAGTTCTACATCATTTTTTCTATATCACCACAGAAAGTATTCTGTGGGTTTGTTAGCCTGTCCACAAAGAAAGATTTCCATCGTTATTTTTTAGGTATAATTTGTGCAAGTGGTGTGGTAAAACAGTTCTGTAAATCAAGTGAATATAATGTATATATGTATATTTCACTTCCTTCTGTAGGTTTCACCTATAGTAGGCTTTGTCTGCGTGTCAGAGGTAGAGACTTGGAAAAAAAATATGTTGTGTGAAATTTTCTGACCACAGTGTTTAATTATATATCAGGCTATTAAAGCCTGTTTCCAGCTGAAATGTTTTCCTTAAGAAGCCAGAACTGAAAGGGTTATGGTTTGTTACTGCAGCGGTTATCAGCAGACAGCCATCTAACCTTTGGTACTTACAGGTATTTTATGGCTCTTGATCATATTATCAAATTCTTCATTAATTTTTTTGTATTTTTCTTCAGTGCGTGGGGTGAGGGCGTAAGAGGAGTCAGGATCGGGGCTTTCACAACCTTTGTTTTCTTTCTTGTTCAATGCCTGCCAGGTTCAGAGAAATATCAAAAAGTAAAAAAAATGAATGGGAGCTCAGAATACTTACACATAATCTTTGTCTGCTGATCATTAGATCAATATCTTCGTTAATTTTCCTGTACTTGTCCTCAGACTCAGGGCTGTGACCTACTGAATCGTCTGCATCGGGGTCTGGACTGTCACAGCCATTAAGTCCTTTCTTTCTCAACGTCTGAAATACATAATTTGGAAAGTTCAATCCTTGACATAGGCTGCAAGAAAGACTCAGCAGTGTTAGAGTAACATAAACCGTCCGAAGGTGGAAGGTTTTACATTATAATTTAGGGAAAGAAGCTGTCTACGCCACAGTGATGCTATAGGTCTCCTGTTATGAGTAGCAAGACAAGACTATACAGACCTCCTCCCTCTGAAACTGGAAGCTGTCAAAAAAGAATGAAGCTAGCAATATGGCAAAGTGCCTGTGTTAGTACCCCCCACTCCCACCACAACTGATAGCATTAAGAGGTTAAGATACCCACCCAGAAAACAACTCATTTAAACATATTTACACATATTAATAAACACTAACAGCAAAGGACACATACTGTTTAGACTGGAACACCCTGTGTTTTCCTTTTTTTTCTAAAGAAAGATATAGGAGGAAGAAATTGAAAAAAAAAAAAAAAAGAAGAAGAAGTAGCAGACAGCAATTCATGTTCCTCACAGAAGAAGTAGTAACTAAATCAAATTCTTCCTTTGAATTTGATGTAAGGGATGACATTAACAGTGCCCTGCCATTCCTAAATGCATGTTTTTGGCAGGACAAGTGGGAGGAGAGAGTTGTGAACATGGCTGTGAAATACTGATTCAGAGCTTCTAGACATAGTGTTTACTTTTTATTGACTCCAGTATGCTACAAATGTGTAGTGCTGAAGTTTAACAGAAAGGAAAAAAGCACTGCTAGAACAGATGCTTAGTAAAGAGTCAAAACAGATGAATTTCAGGTTCAGCAGCTCAAGTTGACGCTCAGAACCATGAACATCATCACCAAGATAAATAACAGAGATGAAAAAGATAAAAACCAAATAAAATCAGTAGCTAACAATTTAGGTATGTTGCCTGGCCTCTAACAGGCTTTAACTGATCTACCAGTCACCCACTGCATTAAAGTAAAAGAATATGAGAAACAGGTCTTTGTGGACTGTCCAATACAAGCAACAGTACACAAAGTCAATATTTGTAAGATTTCTCAAATTTAGCTTTAAGAGTTCTTTGGTCAAAAACACTTCAAAGAGTCCATTTGGCTGTCTACAAACATTATCAGACAGTTCACAGGTTTCAGCTGAAGCCTGGCTGAGAAATCTCAGTTACAACACATAGATTACATAGCACTCCTGTGTTGTTAAGTGGCTATGCTGATGCTGTGTGATTAGTGTCTGATGCTCTACCTTGTTTCTTTTAGCCTCCTAAGAAAGGCTGCCTCTACTCTGAGCTTTTTGTTTCTTTGGAAAAGTACTTTCCTTAATTGCTTTCTTTACGGCAATGCCCAATTTTGCACTGTTAAATATCCAAGTACTACAATTTCATACTTTGATTTTGTATTACTGCATTTATATATTAAAAATTAGACTTCATTTCTGTATTTTACACAAGATGGAAGAAAAAGGCCATCTTAGTCCTGCAGAAGCCATAGTGCTACTGAACTTGTGGAGACACATGACTTGAATCTCGTGTTTTCTTCACACCAACAAAATGGTGGTGCTCACCCTTATGAGATCTGAGCCTTCCAAGTCCATGTTGTGGACCTCTCAAACACATTTTGGTAACTGTGGAAGGCTAGCTCAGTGTAGCGCTTTTCAAAATTCAGTTACCTATGAAACTTCACGTTTAATCCTATGAGCTATTTCTGACTCACAGAAAAAATTATAAATGCATTTGAATTGAACCTTAAGATGAGACAACTTGAATGACTCTCTCCACTTCTCCACACCCACTTATCTCTCCTTTATGGTTTAGATGTTAGCTACATGACAGAGTCATGTTTGATTTCTACTGCTAATAGCTTGAAACAAACCAATTATAAAGAGGACTTCTGCAATCAGCTGTTGTTTTACAGAGTTAATAGACAAATACAATGCTGTAAAAATGAAAATTCCCTTTTATATATATAAACTAATCCATTTTATATTCATAAACTTAGCAGGCACAGTAAACCAATTGGGTTTACATGGTAAGGTTTTAGTAGCAGAGGGGCTGGAGGGGTGGCCTCTGTGAGAAGAGCTCAGCAGCTGCCCCATGTCAGAGAGGAGCCAGCTCCAGCTGCTCGAAAAAGGACCTGCTGCTGGCCAGAGCTGGCCTGTGAGCGATGCTGGTTGGGCTCTGGGAGAGCAGATTGAAGAACGGGGAACACAAAAATCTTCAGCAGCTGGGAGAGTGAGAAGTGAGCACCAGCCCTGCAGCCCCCAAGGGGAGTGCAGCAGGAGGGCAGGAGGTGCTCCAGGCACAAGACAGCACAAGTCCCCCTGCAGCCCGTGGAGGGGCCCCTGGTGGAGCAGGCTGTCCCCCTGCAGCCCATGGGTCCCACATGGAGCAGATCTCCACGCTGCAGCCCCCCCATGGGTGGAGGAGCCCTCGGTGGAGCAGGTGGATGTGGCCTGGAGGAGGCTGCGGCCCATGGAGAGCCCCCGCAGGAGCAGGCCCCGGGCCGGAGCTGCAGCCCGTGGAGAGGAGCCCCTGCAGGAGCAGGGGGCCTGGGGGGAGCTGCCGCCCACCCATGGGGGACCCGTGCTGGAGCAGTTTGCTGCTGGGGGATGGATGGACCCTGTGGGATGGAGCCGTGTGGGAGCAGGTTCTGAAGAGCTGCTGTCTGTGGGCAGCTCCCGCAGGCTCAGTTCAGGAAGGACGGCATCCCGTGGGAGGGACCCCACGGGGAGCAAGGGCAGAGAGGGACCATGAAGGAGCAGCAAAGAAGAAGAGTCAGGGACTCTTCTTTCTCAGAAGTTCCCCTGCACTGCTCAGAGGGAGGAGGCGATGGAGGGAAAGTGGTTTTTGTTTGCTTTTAGTTCTCACTGTTCTAGTCTGTTGTTAGTTGGCAATAAATTACATTAATCTTCCTGTTCAGAGTTTGTTTTGTCCATGACAGTAATTGGTGAGGGATCTCCTTGTCCTTATCTCAACCCATGTACTTTTTTTTTTGTTTGTTTCATATTTTCTGCCCCAATCCTTTTGTGGAGGGGAAATCAGAAAGTGGTATGGTGGTGCTGAGCTACCTGCTGGTGTTAAACCACAACAAACCCGAAGACCAAAATCAGCAAAACCATGCTGGTATTCTACTCTAAATTAACTTTAACAGAGTAGAGGCAAAATTTTCCCTTGTAAAACTCACCAATCCAGTGTGATTGACTGGTGCCTTGGCTGACATGGCTAGTCCAGCTCACTGATCCTGTGCCCTTCTCCCTGCCCACCTCCCCTAAATTGCAATGTGATAAGGTTAGGCAACATAATTATCCACAAGTGTGCTTCAGTCAGAGGCCCAGCTCTAGCTCTTTGAGTGCTGGAACTAATGCCTTGTTCTGTATGAATTGCATTTTTAGGGAAAAGTGCAATGAACAGAGAAGATTTCCTGTCTCTGGGTCTCTCGAGGCATCTCTTGCCCCTTGCCCATCCTTCTGTAGGTCCATTGTTGCCTCTGTGTGTAAGGAATCATGCTGCAACCCTGCCTTCAGCTGGGACGCTTTCTCACTTTCTGGGAATATTTTCCTGATCTCTTTTTTTTTGCACAGGAACACATTCTCATGAACCTTGTTGATATTTCATTGTCTGTAAGACCCCTGCTTTTGTCTCTCCTTTTGTGCCAGATTACTTTGGCACTGAATAAAGAATGAAAAGATTATAAGGAAAAAGACAGAAGAACAGACTAGTAGACCGTGCAGACACATACGCACAAATACACAGTCCTCCTCTGGAGAGGGTAGCACGCTAAAAGTGACATACTTATCCACTGCAGTAAGGTAACGAGTGGTATTCAGGACAAATATAATGATCCTAAGCATCTTATCATTCATTATCTCTGGCTTCTCAACATGCAATACCGTTCTGTCTGTTCTGCTGCATTGTGTGTTACTTTACTCTCTACATTATTACCAAACTCATACCTCTCATAAAGCTCTTTTATTATTGTGCTTCAACACATCTGATACTTGGTACAACACAACTAAAAGTGGCACTGACCGATATCTAACAGATTCCTCCTTATTCACAAGCTCTCTGGACTCCATGTCAAACTTTCCCTCTCCTCCTCAGCTCTGCGTCACCTCTTGATTACAGAGGCTGATTCTGAACCTCAGAGAAGAATGGAGTCATTAAGAAGGCCAACTGGGTTTCAGCAGGCTAGGGTCTTTGACCCAGTCTTGCAGTGACTTAGAAATATTTTTTCTTACCATGTTAAGCTGTCATAGCCTCTTGCAAACCCTGGAAAATAGCCAGACCTATAGCATCCTCCTGGAGATTAGCTAGTTTCCAAAGATTTAATGACTATTCAGGGAATTTTTAAGAGGATAAAATTACACAATTGTATAGTGCATTGCATTCTAGAGAACCCCAAGCCAGATTTCAGTTATTTTTAAAGAAAATAAGCTTTTTTTTTTTTTTGGTGCTACGGAGGCTCTACTTTTTCCAAGCAATTAAAGAAGTAATTATAACTTAAAACAAGCCACGGCATTTGAAAAACAAAATGGTTAAAGGAAAACAACCTTTGGCTGAAATCTCATATGCCAGCAATTTAGCCTAAATCCTGCTCTATAAATCTCTGAGGAGAAGTGCTGACTTAGTGACATACTGGCTGCTGTAAAATGAAGTATAAACAACTATTTACTTGCACTTCATGCAAAATTTATCATCACTACAAAAGCACAAAAGAAAATATGGCACTATCAGCCGGGTGTGGTTTTATCAAGGCAATGGAAATCATCACAATTTGAAGGCTTTTGAGGAGGAAAAGCCTTTCATTTTCTTTGTTTGTGCAGTACAATCTTTTAGAATTTCTTTAACATGAAGAATGGAAAAAGCCAGAAATTCATTTTTTTTTTCATTCTTTCTTTTATTTTCTTTTTAATTTTTTATTTTTATTTTTCATCCTATCTTTTAGTGTGTTCATCTTTGATCTTTGTAGAGGGGTTTCTCATTTCTTCTTAATAGCTTTATCTACCAGGGAGCTGATCTCCATAATGCTGT